TACTTTGGGTGTGGTGTGATTTTATGCCAAATATATTTGTAATTGTGGATTTTTTTTTTCCTTTGTGAGAAAAAGTGTCTAAAAGTAGTTAACAGCAGCAGCCCTGACTGACACAGCTCATTGGTTAATTTGTATCACGTGTCCCGGACGCTCCGGAGGGCTTTACCATATTAATAGGAGAAGCGGCGGAAGTCAATCTATAAAATCTATAAAATTACTACATGTTGTCCGATTAATTACTGTATAGTTTTAAATCAGGTTGGCCATGGATTAGCAAGCAGGTGGGTTTGGAACCGGACCCTTGTCTGCTAATCTGTGACCTCCGTTCTACATTAATGAGGTGTAATGCAGCAGTTAGATCCGATGTATAAATAAAACCAATAAGCAGAAAGATATGAGGCAATGATAAAAAAGAATACCTATTTGGCTTCTGCAATAATCCCACACTGTATTTAAATGCCCACTTGAACAGCCCTGCACACCCAAAAGCATCACCTCCCACACATGGCTGAATGAGCTAATGTCACAGTGGTTGAAATGTAAATATAACATTAAAGGCTGAGTTTGGTGACTTTCACAAACACTGATAGCAGCAGCTGTGAGAGCAATCTCCATCTACGGTGAATCCTGTATCGCTTCATCTGATTTCACCATTTGTGCCCAACGGTCCCACTCCCCCCCCTCCCCACCACCATTTCTTTCTTTGACTTTTTCTTATTGTGAATTATATGATACTCTTCAGCTGGAGATGGGTGTGTCGGGAAGCAAAAGAGTGCACAAAGACTGATGAATGAGAGGTGTCTCTGGCTTTCGAGAGCGGAGAGTAGGTTTAATATGTCATCCGAGAGAAGGCCAGGGAGGTTTTGCTGGAGCAGGGTCGGAAGAAATGTGAGGGATGGTGTGCAGCAGGGAGAGACCGTTGGGCATAGGGAAGAGTGATGACCATGGAAGACATGAATCTTCTGCCTTGGGGTAACAAAAGCTTTTCTTTTTTTGTGCCCCTGTGACTAGACAACGCATACATTGCAGATTCAGGCAGCACTAATGACTGCCTACATCTTCTCTGAGTGTATCTGCCTGAAAACAATATTTTTCATGCTATATATGTGCATATATTTTGAGAATTAGCATGGATGTAGCTAAGATGAATGCTGTTATTCTGCTCGACTGAGGGTAGAGAAGAATTTAGCGAATCGCTGAAGAAAGCAAACGGAGCAAAATGTCAAGACAGCTAACATAAAAAATTTGATTTTCTTTTCTAATTTCACCTTTATAAAACTAAAAAGGCAAATTCCCTGCAACTTGATAAACTTGCACTCAACCCATCATTGCTTTTAAAAAGAAGAGCAGGAACTTTTTAATAAAAATCTGACATCCAAAATTAGAGGCACAGAAATGTTTTGGCAATTAATCTTAATCCATGAGAACATGTTATATGTTTGATTAATATTAATGTTGACGTGTTACAAAGCACAGTCAGATTATTGGATCACTCCTACATGATCTCCCCATATACCCACTCAGAGTTTCCATTTCATCTACATCGTTCAGAAACCAGAAATATTACTCCCACGTGGAAAAGGGTTTTTTAAAACTAAAACCCTATCTTCTTTTAATCTGCAACTCAACCCACTCTGAAGCTCACAGTTTGTGTTCCAAAACACAGCATAATTTTCACTGACACAGAGTGAAAGGGAATTTTCTCACAGCAGATACTGTCGATGCAGTTCAGAAATGCTTTAAAGATCCAGTAGCAATGTTTTAGCCAGGTTTATCAGTCACAGGTTCAATGTATACTGATACTAACCCTTACCTACTTTGCTACCAAAAACAGACACCTTAAAACCCTCAGCAGTGACCAAAATTGCATTTTAGCATTTTCTAAAATATAGTGAACTGAATATCAGGTGACTTCCAGATAAGCTGAATTATCAAAATAAACCTAAAGCCATCTATTTGGACTGCAGACCAAATACCAGAGCTGTAAGGGAAGCCCAACATAGGGGCAGAGGTTATTTTTTACCAATAGGACAGTGATTATTCTTCTCTTATGAGGTCAGAGCAGAGAGACGATCAATTACTATTGACTTTGCAAAATCTCTCTTGATCAGCCACAGTCCTTCTTCCTAACTAATTCTCTTTCCTCTTTATACTCCCTTCTTCATTTGGAAGAACAGCATAACAGTGCAAATCAAACTGCTGTATCATTCTGGTCAAACAAAACAAAATCCTGTGTATCTCAATTTGGTAATACAGGATTTAGACTGTTTATTGAGCACAATTATGGGAAGTTCCCACTGGTTTTCAAAGTTTAAACTTGAGGAGCTGTCACATGTTAACGATTTAGCCAGTGTATGCTGACGTACGAAAAATCTGGCAAAAATGTTGGCGTACGTTGGATAAGTTATCGGTACGTTTTGTATAAGTTATGAGCACGCTGAAACACGCTGGCACACGAAAACATTCGGCAAGATTTATCCAAGAATTTCTTGACGTATGCCAGCGTATGCTCATACCTGGGCCATAAGTTACATGTAAGTTATGTGATAGTGGACACACCTTAATTGCATATTACTCGTAAGTCGTGGTGTCTAGCGTATCCAACCCGTATCATCCCCATCATAGGGTGAACGAGTAGGTGAGTGTGATGGATCCTCCTTGCGTTCACGCCCACGGCCACAACCAACAAACTTCCTAGCAGACATGACGCTGAATCTGCTGCGACTGCAAACCTTCTTTCTTTTTCTTTTTCCTTTCTATTTTTATTAATTAATTAAATAATTTTTTTGGTGGGCGGTAAACTGCATCTTCTTGTGCTTTTTATGCAGGCTGCGGGCGCCACCGGGGGCATTGCTGCCCCTCTCGGGACACTGGTTTGTGACATTTCATGGGCATTACGCTGCAGTGTGTTATGCATAAGTTAGGCTGTTGTTGGACAGAAGTTCTGGACTCGTTATGAATACTCCTTATAAAATACATAGAAAATTCAGTGTATGCCAGCGTTTTAGGAGATTCTGGGACAACAGCATATGCTGGCTAAATCGTCAAGGTGCAATGCATTACTACCGTATCTGTAATATCATTTAATGATCAAAGGTCAAACAACACTATTGTACATTAATGTCAATTTAAAAGCATTAGATGAAAGAAAATAATCACCATGCATTATAAACTCCATACAAAGGTGCTCCATGTATGCAAACAGCATTAATCTCATTTCGGATGCAGGTGGTTCCCTCTGTGATGACGCTGCTAACCTCTGTAATCAACCAGTTTCCTTTTTCTTCTGTAATGTCGTGATATCAGATACAAATCAGGAAAAAGCTTCCAACCCACTATCCCCTATCCACTTGCCATAATTGCACATTTCTGTGTTTTTCAGTATATTCTAAAGAAGAACGCCTGAGGCTAGCTTCAGCTATCATTCATCTGTTATCTCTTAAATAACCCTCAAACCGATATTGCCATGCAAGCAGCAATTAAAGTCTCACCCTCCGTTATCCGAAACTCCCGAGTTCAGAGAACCTCAGTGATATTTTTTTCTTTTCTTTTCTCATGAGATAAGTCCTTGCAGTGACTCAGTCAGAGTTTGCTCCTCTCTGATTGAATTTTCAGCAGATTATCGTGGCAGATTTGGCTTCATAATGAAAGAGCCTCTAAAGTTACAGCGTGTGGCCACTGGGCATCAGAACTTTGTGCTTGGGAGCTTAATTAGAATAACTTCATTACATGAAAAGAAGACATATTAATAAGACATATTCACTGGCATGATGAGTCTACACAAATAAGAAACTCCCTGCACAGAGGGGTTAGTGCCATATGCTTTTGTTTTCTCTTGAGCAATAAAATTCTAATAACCTTAGGGAGGTTTTGTTGCATATATCCTATAGAGAAAACAAGATACTTCCTATTTTAACCCTTTGTAACATGTTGAAACTGAAAATAAGTTGTAACTTCCTAGAAAGTAGGCAATTTAAGGTAATTTGAGGCTACCTACTGGTGTAATGCGGAAATAATTCTGAGGTTGTGCAAACTGTTGATGAAGGTGACAGAAATGCTCTTTAATTAAGGCCACCAAAAATAGAAAAATAACTTTCAGTTTCAGAAGTCTCTGCCTTGGTCTTTATTGATGATGATTAGAGCATACATGATATTAATGGACTGATGGTTTTTGCCCATAAGGGCTTGCTGATTGTTGTCAGTGTTATACGTACGTGCGGAATTGGCAGAACAAGCCAGCTTTAAGTATAGTGGACTGCTTCATTGTTATTTTTTTTTTGTCATTATTTTCTCAGTATCGTAACATGAATGCTTCATCCCGGAAGCATTGATGCCTTTTACGATAAAAAAAAACATCAAAATTATCGCATAGTACTTACTATTCATTTTGAAATTGTGAGCCAGATTCCTGCAGGTTTTATGTTATTTCTGACTGATACTCAACCTTTTTTTTTTTTTACATTTTTGGTAATAATTAACATTACTGTAAGAGAATAGACTTTATACCACTTCTAATCTTTAAACCACTGAATGGCTTTGCACCAAAATACATTACAGGCTTGCTGTCAGTGCGTCAACCATCCAGACCTCTCTAAACTGTAATGTGTAATATGTTTCAATAATCTGGAATGAAAAATAACTGAAACCCTAAATTGCTTTATATTGAGATTAAAAATAAATTTGTTTACAGTGGCTTTTGGCTGTACTACCTAAACATTATTAGTCAAGTTTTCTGTCTAGCTTTTCTTTTTTTGTTGTCAATAATTGTATCTCTTGTTTTAATCATCTTTCCATAATCATTTATATTTATTCTCTCTAATTATTTGTATCTCCTTTTTGAAGAAATGAAATAGTTTGTTTTACATAATCATGTTCCATAATGGAAGTATTGTCACAGAAAATGTATAAAAATCCTATATAAGATAGATATAAAATAGTTTACTCGTGGTTCAATAAGCCAAACAGCTTTCAAATGAGGGTTTTAGGTTCCAAAGACTCACCTGCACACTTAGTTCTGCTCACAAGGGGGGGCCCAGGGGGGCCGGTTCCACCCTCTCCAGGTCGAGTTAGCAGCACACTGATGTGATACTCCGTGTCTGGATCCAGGTGCCACAGTTTATAGGTGACCATGTTGACTCCATGTACCTCTGACCACGGGGACTGACTGGCACGGTACTCAATCTCTTTCCTGATAATGGGCCCATCTCCCAGGATAGAGTTAGTGTTGAGCTGGATGATCAGGTAAGTGGAGCCGGCACGCAGCAGCTGAGGCGGTGCGATGGGGGATGGAGGTACTGTCAGAGGAGAGGGAAATCAGTAGGCCATTATTTGTTCTACTGAAATGCATTTAAAGCTAACAGGACTGCTACCTAATCTGAAAATCTAAACAAAAAAAATCATATTTCACTGATTAGTAGCTATTATGCAAACAGGCTCTCAGTATCTTAAAGCTCTAAGTTTTAGATCCATGAGTGACAGAGTAAGAGCAGGCCAATTTTTTGAAAACACAGCTAATTAGTCACACACACTGTATTGGCAAGGCACCCACAGCCTGGAATAAACTTTAAAAAAGTGATGACTGGAAAGAACAGCTGTGCATTAAATGGAAAGCATGTGACAACCCTTTAACTGTGATTAAGCACCGTTTATGTTTTTCTCTATCTGTCCACAGAGCCCCCTACCGTGATGAAACAGGAGACTCTGCATCACTGTCAGTCAGGATTTCCAAAGCAGGAATTTATACCACAGCCCACTGGTCAAACGTCACTTACAGGCAGATCAATTACACCGCGTGAGTGAGGAATGGGAATAGAAAAGAAACGTCGACAAGGCATGGGAAGAGATCAGAGTGAGATTTGTTGCTGTGACTAATCCAGCGGAGGCGCCTCAGTCTTTTACGGCCCGCCCAAGTGTGTGCTTCGAACATTACCATAACCTCGGCTCCTGGCTCCCTCAGCCTGCAGCAGCTTGTTTTAAGGGTCGGCTGCCTCTGAACTAAAAGCGCATCTTAAGGCTACAGGCAGCAGCCAGTGATTAAAGTTTGACTTACCCACTCATGTTTAGTTAAACAGTTTGCAGTTTTCAGTTTTTCCAACATGTTATTTACCTTTATTTTTAATACAAACACATTTTAGATTATTTTTTTATGTGTTTGATTGCTTCTCACATTCATTTGAATGGCAATCTTTAATTAGGAATATGATAGAGTACAAAGAAAATGTTTATTTTTAATTATATTCAAAGTTGCTCTCTGGTGTGGGGCAGTAGGAGTGTCTGTATGATTCTGCTGTTTACATTTACATTTAACATTACTGAAATGTCTAAGCCTAACTAATCAAAAGCTCTTAGCAGTGCAGTGGAGAAGCAGGGCATTTATTAAGATTGCATAGTTACAGACTGACTCCTCCATAATTTAAGTCTGGTTATCACGTTTACTTGATGTGCAGCTCTGCCTTGGAGGAAGATTTTTTTTTTCCTTTTCTATCCAGAGTCTGAAAAGTTAAGGTTCATAAAGATCCCACCATGATTCATCCAAAGTTGAAATAATGGATTACATGGCAATTTTTCAGTGGATTCTCTCTTGATTTAGTGGCAGCCGATGGTGAGGGGATTGAGAGTTTAGTAACAGAGGATTCATTTTATACTAGCCATGTTTTCAATAGACTAAAACAAAATTGGCATTAGAGAAAGGGATTCAGCTAGAAATCAATGGGCTTGGTATACAAAGGCTTTAAAAAGTAAAAAGATTGTTGATATTTTTCAATATACTGTCTCACATAATTTTAGCGAACTACCTGAAATAGATCCATAATAAAAAATAAAAAAAAAACGTGTTCTCTGGCTTCATGGAGTTCATAGTGGCACAGAGCTCCTCAGCCTAATTTTGTCCTAAAGTCATTGGTGTTATTTTAAGTGTAGCTCAGGATGTCATTGAAGCTGAAAACTGCGGCCTAAATCTTAGCAGTTAAACTAACATTCTAACAAGGTGATATAAGATTAAGAAAACAAAATCGAACAATAAAAAGATATATTTTGTGCAAAACGTATTTGCTCAGTAAAAAAAAAATAATACCTGCTAACTTAAACATTGCATCAGAGTCCATATCTTTTAGAAACTTTTGTTTAGGTCATGTGATTATATATGCATTATATACAAATGAAAGAAAATAATTGCAATTTAAAAAAATAGGTAAAGTGGAGAAGTAAAAACCACTTTAAAGTATTTTTACATTTTGTTATTATTTTTACTATATCATGATGAATTAAGAGACTTTTACTCAAATTGAAATTGATATCAGAATGTCAGTCAAGTCTGAACCAAGTACTTCATAAACAAAGGTATAAATATTGAGAAAACAGATAAAATACCAAATTCACGAGCAACCACGAGCAGAGCAGAGAATATGTGACGTCCTTGTATCCCCTTCTCATCTTCCGTTAGCTGAAGGCTACAGTCTGTTATGCCATCAAACCACTGCCATGTCATTACTATGCTGTCAGAGTCGTGTCAGGCTGTTGGGCTGTGGTGAGTAATGAGAGTGAGGTCACCATCTGTGTCTCATGATATGACAGGGTCTGCAGAAGTCCAAGTCATGCAAGCAGCTTTTTGTCAGAGAGTTGAAGTGCTCAAGATGGCAGCGTGTTTGACAACTTTAGCTTATGAATCACTCATGCCAAAAAAGAGTTTTTTTGTCACCGTAACATGAATAGAATGCAGTTCAGGATTAAGTATTTTTTGCACAAATAAATGAGCCCTATATTAAGGCTTCATCCCACACTGCACAAGTGACCAAGATCAACAGGAAAAACAGCAACATGAAAACTGATACTGAACCAAAACCAGAATAAGGAGAAAAAAAAGACATGTTTTATTTATTCTTACCTTTTACAACAAGCTCAGCAAAGTTGGACACCCCTGAGCCCCTGGAGGACTGAGTGACACAGCGGTAAAGGTCCTGATCTGAGCGCTGAACGTTATCTAGCTGGAAGGACACCACAAAGTGCCGATGACTCAAGTGCTTGACCGAGGCCGCTGTTAAAATGTCGCCATTGTGTCTCTGGAAAACAGGAGAGGACAGGGTCATGGGGAGACAGGATGGGTCATCATTTTGCTCACAAACACAGTTATAATGCAGAACATTAGAAGGTGACCTATGCTCATACATAAACAGGTATAGGGACGCTATACTTTGTGTGGCATCTACCTAATACAATTTCCAAGCATCAAAGAACAGAAATAATGTAACTTTGAACAATTTTAGAGAAATATAACATGAAGACAGAAATGTAATATTTTTTCATTCTTATGTTGGTGCATCTCAGTCTGTGACATAAATGATTAAATCCTTCAGATTCAGGGCTCCATCTTTGTACAAATAATTTTCCTCCCTCCAGCCATCAATCATGAGGGAAGACGTCATCCATTTGTTAGATTGGTGGACTATCCCTTTATTTGCTGCCTGCCTGACTCATTTGTTTAAACTAAGGTTTAAATTGACTTGAATTTTGTTTTTGTTTTTTTTGGTTTTTATTATTTATTTCAGACTTCTGATTTTAGCTCTATTTTAGTATTAACTGTTTGTGGTTTAAGTTATAGTATATTATGTAAAATGACTTGCATACTAGGGGAAAGGCCAAAGGAAAAAAAAAATAGAAACTAAATTCTAGATAAGGTCAGACTGCTATAGCAACACAAAGGACCTGCGCCTTACCCTCCATCTCCCGGTGTCATAGGATACAACACAAAAAGAAAAAAAACAGACAGGAAACAAGATGCCAAAGACACAAAACAAAACAAAGCGCATTCTCTCCTAAAATCCCTTTAGTTTCAGTTCATTTTGTAAACTCTTTTTTCAGTTTTTTTTTTTTTTGAAAGGTCTAGTTATTATTTTGATGTCGGTTAACGAAAACTTTTTTTTTAGAAATAGTTTTAGTCATTTTGATAACAACCTTGGTCTAGCCTTCTCCCACATTTAACATCAATTTCTAACTACTTACAAGCACTGAAAGGTCCATAAAATATATTACTCACTGCCGTTTATTTATTTTTCTTAACCTTTAATCTACAATCTAAGTTGCTGACTAAACTCGACTTCCCATACTTGCTATTGCCGTAATATTATTTTACATCCATTACAATTAAAAAGTCTGTCTTGCTGCTGCACTTTCTTGTCTATCATAAAACCTATTCCTTTTTCAAACAGCAGTCTGGGACCTAATCTTTTTAATTCACACACAATAAACTGACACCTTCTTTTTAATATATTATAGGTTGCATCAGAGCAATAGACCAATGTAAATATGCTATTAGACGACTAGCATACCTGAAAGCATCGCCACCTGGTGCCAAAGGAGTGTTTATTAAGGTTTGCAGATGTATTGCTGAAGTCAAAGTTTAACTTCTAGTCTTTAAAACCCTCTAACAAGCCTTCTTCTACTTTGACTCCATATTTAGCTCCTTTCATATTCCCATACAGTCTGACCAGATTCCTTGTACCTGCTGATAATAGATCGTCATACAAGATAATATAGCAACTTACTACAACTCGATCAATAAAAGGAGTTTGCGCAGTTTGAGTTAAGCACAGATTCTGTGTTGCAGGAGGGCACTGCTCTCTGTTGCTGATGCAGGGAGCTGAGATAGAAGCACACATGACAATGATTGGCTGACGGAGAATAATTCTGGTCCCGATTGCTTTCAGAGATTGAGACAAACTAGAAAGAAGTACAGTGATGTAGGAGAGTCTTGCAGACTCAATGATAGCACTACATGGACCCTATTTTATGCTTGCTAAAGTCAAAGACTAAATCCATCCATCCATCCATTTTCCTACACGCTTAATCCCAAGTGGGTCGCGAGGGGTGCTGGTGCCTATCTCCAGCTGTCTATGGGCGAAACTCGGGGTACACCTTGGACAGGTCGCCAGTCCCAAAGCCTAAATGTTCCTGTAATTTGCTCTTTAAGTCGAGAAAAAAACTTTATCCACAATGTGCACAATGTAAATAATTTCTATTGAATATTTTATATTGGATATTTGAACACACAGTTGTATTTAAAGTTAAGAAAATAGGAAAGTCTGATTTTACACTCTATTATAATTATTTTAACTAACTTTAGTTCAAGTATTTTTTTTTTTATTAGTTTCGGTTTTTGAAGATCATAAAAACCAATTGAGCAGTTACTTTGTGTTATAATGGGTTGTTTTGATAGTTCAGGAACTTACATTCCTAACAGAGCACTGCCCTCTTAATCTGCAGGTTGACTAGCGGTTCCTAGAATTTCTAAATTAGAATGGGAGGCAGATATTTTAGTTATCAGGTTCCTCTCCTGAGGAACCAACTACCAGTTTTACTCCATGAAACAGACACCCTGTTTACTTTTAAGGGTGGGCTTAAAACTTTCCTTTTTGATAAATCTTATAGTTAGAGTGGCTCAGGTTATCCTGAGCTATCTCTATAGTTATAGTGCTATAGGCTTAGACTGCTGAAGGACATAGGGACCCATATTTCATCATTCTGCTTCATTCTACCTCTATTCTCCCATTCTGCAGAATCTGTTAGTTCATTCTCTAATGCTATGCTCTCTCTGCTTTTTCTTATAGTAGCTTCACCTCGTCTGTTCCTGTTTGGCTATGACACCATCCTGGAGAGAAATATCAGCTCTGCTGCTGCCGTCAACACCTTTGATTATATGGTAGATGTTGGAGCTCGGCCTGTTTTTCAGTGTAGTCCTGTTTCTCTGACTGTGACTGGCTGGATGTGTTCTCTTTATCCTCTGCCATGGGAGCTGGCTCAGAGCTTGTCTGCCTGGTTGTATGTTTCCTGGACAGGGCCGCCTGTGAAGCTTGTTGACAGTTGCCTTTTGCATCTCTGCTTCTTTCTGTATGTCTGCTTCTGTCTCCTTGAACCCCAGTTGGTTCTGCTGGAGGTTTCTTACTGTTTAAACTGAGTTTTTCCTCTCCACTGTTGCTACAAGCATGCTTGTTGTGAGGGATCGCTTTCAAGTCAATGAGTCGATGCAATCAACTGATTTTCCTTAAATAGAAAACTATGAATCAACAATGATCTGACTGAACTGTGTCTGTAAAGTGCCTTGAGGTGACATGTGTTGTGAATTGGCGCTATATAAATAAACTGAATTAAATTGAATTGAAATTGGATAATGAATTCACTCACTTTTTGGGAGAATTAACAGTTATTTATAATATTTATTTGTCTAAGTTATGTGTTCCTCACTGGTCATTGTAGCTGCTTACTTAATTCAGGTCACCTCTGTTGGAGAATACTATTATTGATTAGAGAAAATACTGATAAGAAAAACACAAACTGTGACATCTATTGAGAGGTAAATGGAACTCCATTAAAATACTTAAAGGCACATTATAATAATGATAATGAAGCGTTTTTATTGCACTTTAAACCTACTATGTGTTTAGATATTTATACAGCACTGGGTTTAATGAACTATCAGCGTCCATAATGACTCAGATCAATGTTGCCTAAAAAGAAACCCAGATGTCTCTTGAACATGTAAATGTATCACATAATTTCTTTTTTGTCTTATAAGCACTTTCTTCCCTGCTTTTTTCAGTTATTCCTCCCGTTCATTTCCCTTAGTTATCATTTCTGGAAGTTAAGTGTTTCTTCTATACTCCTGAGCACAACATCTGACCTTCCGTATCAAAGGAGCCACAGACAATCATGCCCTTGGCTGGATTCATGCCTTGTACACATTTATTGCCCTGTGAGCTCCTGGGACTCATGTGCAACAGTGCACACACGTTACCGCTATATGGGTCAGTTCCTATTAGCACTGTTAGATTAAAATGGTAAAATGTTCAATTATGTTAAATTTAATTAGAAATGAAGGACCATCTAGCTGATTTATTCTTGCATTGTGACAATCAAGCATGCTTTAATAATTACAAACGAAACCTTGTTAAAATTATACTGATTATCGGGCTAATGCGCATCATGAATGATATTCCCAAATGGAGTCAATCTAAAAATGCGGTCATCATGAGAAACCCTTGACTCCTGTTCAGCAGCCTGATTGATAGTTAGTTAGGCTTTAAATGCATCAAGTCAAGTTTTTAATCAGATTGATAATAGATGAGAAATTGTGGGTTGTTTTTTTGCTGAAGGTAAAAATGGGAGTTTCACAGTTTAAAAAAGGGAAACCTGCAAACACATACACACACATAGAGCTGGACATCCAAGCCAATTCTGAGTGGTTCACCTTCCTGCCACACAGCGAGTGCTTTCTCACATTGTTCCACACCATTAAAACGACTAACATTTGTCAACCCCATGAAGTCTCAAAAACACACAGAGGATCTGACATTTTGTTGGGGGTTTTTTTCGCATGTTTTCAGGCAATCTTCTTTGTGTGAAGTGGTGTATATAAACGGTGATACTTTTTGATCTGTGCTTCAGCACAATCCGAAGGCAGTCAGCATGTTGGGAACCTCAGGGTATCGCTGCACGTTCACAGTTTCCTCTCAAACCCTGAATTGATGGCCTGAAAAAAGCCACAAACCACACAGACCTCAGGCCAAAGCTTCGCAAACAAACTCATAAGCATTAAACTGCTGATTAGGGTTGAGTCGGAAACCAATCCTGAAGCCACAAAAAACACTCTCCTCAGTCCTCTCTACGTGTTTTATAATGTTTTACTAAAGTATTTTTACACTTTGGACTTTTGTCACACTACAGTTTCATAATTCAATGTAGCCTTCGTTATTTGTTATTATTATTATTATTAAAGTGGATGCCAGACCAGTACAAAATAATGCATAGTTCCTTTACATTGAGGTTTGTGATTATAACGTGACAAAGGTGCTACATGGTTAATGTTTTTCTTAGGTGCTCTACTGCTCCCTTTTTTAATTCCAAAATGTAGATTTAAGATGAGCAGTATGGAAAATCTAAATAAAACAAACAAGCATAGGATCACTTGATGTTATCAAAACAATCTGGCTGTGGCTAATTGGCAAGGAAATGACAAACCGATCTGCTAATCTGGCAGACGCGAGCAGCCAAGACTTATCTGCAGCTGTTGCAGCAAACGCAACCAACACAGTGACATAAAAACAGGACTTAAGGTTTATACGAGACAGGAAGATGGTGAAGAGGACAGCTGTAACTAGAGGAGAGGCTAGGGAAGAAAGCACTATGGTGACCATGGGTGCTCATTACAGCAGGCGTCTGTGTGCTTTCTGTCAGCTAATTATCCAAAGCATTTGTCATCGTCCCTGCAAAAATGGTGGTTACTGGGAGAGGTGTGAGCGAGCACACTACAATTATCCAAATCACACAGGAGCGGGGTTTAAACAATGCAGCAGGTTCGCCTACTGTTAAGAACAGTATGTTGTGGAAGGTAAGATGATGGCATGTGTGCCTTTGCTTTGAATGTTACAAAGATAGAAAAAATGAAATATCAGGACATTTCGTTCCTTAATTGAAAACAAATAATAACAAAAGAGCTGTATGGAGCTTCTCTACCTTTTCCAAACAAGGTAGAAAAGAAACAATGAAAAGTTTCTATCTCAAGCAATGCAATTAAGAAAGTTGACAACAGAAAAAAAGCTTTCCTTGACAGGTTATTTGAGTTAGCATTTTCTACTACTGTGGTTATAGTTCTAACTTTAAGACAAAGTTATTGATTTGCTTCACTAAAAGGATCTGTTTGGGAACATTTATGCCCATGAGCCAGGGCTCTTTGAAGAGACACTTCAAATCTTAGTTTTTAAGTTGCTAAAAGAACAAAAAGGAGGAGACAATAAAGGAAAAAGACGTGAAATAAACAAAATAACATTGAAAAGAATCCAAAACAACTGTCAAAGCAGGAAAAACAAAATATCTCAAAGAATGTTGACATGTACACAAATTAACTTTAATCCATTTGATCCATGCAGTTATACGGCCTATGGTGGTTAAGTACTTAATAAAAGTGTTAAAAGTTATTAAATCAAATTTTATTAACAAAATATCAATTATAATCTAGGTCCGTGTCTAAGAAAAAAAAAATAGTGGACTCCATGAAAATTGAATAAGGGGAACTTCTTGGTCAGGGTTTTTATGCCACCCTACCAACATTCTGAATGTGTTTGTGCATTTTTGTGTGTGTGTGTGTGTGAAATAATTTTATATATATTTAAATTAAATCTCAATGGAATTAGAAAACATAATATTGTTTCCTAATATGGACCAGGTCCTTTTTTTTTTTAAAGGACAGTTGGCTTTGAGCGCGGCACCAGAAAAGTGCCAGAGTTCTGTAGAAATTTGAAGAAATAGAGACACTTGATTTTAACAAAGCTACATTCTAATCAGAAAATGCCTTAAAAGTTCATTTTGAGTCACACAAACGTGTACATTTTTAACCAAATGTTTGTCCTTCCTCATACATCATTACAGCCCAATTGTGTCCCATCCACTTCCATCCTCAACTAATCAGGGTACATGAAGGATACTTCTGACACATGCTTTAAATTGGGGAAGGAAATACTCGAAAGGCTGCATTTGAAGGATCCTTGGAGAGATTTGTGAATTCAGACAGGCCTTGTTGATACACAGTGATAATCTGCCTACAAATACTGCAGTCAAAAGTTGCAATCTCAGAATTCGTCTACAGAGCAGTAAAAAAAAACTAATAAGTGGAGTTAAATATAGAAAATAATATGGAATGTCATCTAAAGGGTATCACATATTTGCCCAGACTGTGCACACTGTGAGCCGCGCAGTTAAACCCTTCATTATTGAGCTTCAGCCTTTTTAGCCCCATCGTTGCACCATCGAGCATCATAATTAGCGGTACCTCTTTTCTAGGGTCCTCATAAGAAATACCTTAATTTCCCACACTGTGATGGCGTCATCTATGAGTTTGATGAGTTTGAACTCAAAAAAACAAAAGAAACATAGTCTAAATGGGCGACTTGCACGATAAGAGCACGTAAGAGAGATGTGGTCTTTGTGACTGGCTCCTCTAACCAATCTATGGCTGCTTGGGGAGCTTTATCAGCTTGGCATCAAATTTTAAACTGAATTTGATGAATACCCTCCAAGTAGTAAAAAGAGACACCGTAGAGGCTGTTGTAAAATCTTTGCTTTGTGCGCATCATTCTGAACAGAGCCTGCCTTTAGTTTGCACAAACTCTGAATACATACTGTATCACCGAGTATGTGAGACTTTTAGAGTATAGTAACTATCAAAGAGTAAAAACTGATAAATGTATCAATGTAAAGTTATATGTTGTTCTTTTCTGATACTCTAGATATAGAGGTTACATTCATAGAGGATCAAGCAATATTTTAAGCATCAAGAGATTAATTTATGGGTGCAATTGAAGTATAGCTTTAGACCTATTACAGAAGTTTAGTGTGACACTGCTATACATTTATATTTTCATCCATCACATCTAGGCGGAATAAAGCTTTTGATTCACTGAGATTTAACTGGGATTTTTGTGGGATTCAGTCCATTACTTTGGGCTTTGTTTCATTTTTCACAGCTTATGTTTAGGGGTTTTATTATTGCAGATGTCGACACTTTATTTATAGGTCCTCTGGAGGGCCAGGATAGAGACAACAGCTAGAAAGAATTGTTTCAAATAAAAATCCACAACTTAAAGCCTAACAATGAGAAAGAGCATCTCCAGCAGAACATCTCCAGCTGTGAGGTGTTTGTGTGTTAACATGAGCTGGAATAAAAGAGCCCATACTAAACTGTAAGCATTTTTCTATACTACCTAAGGTATGCTTTCAGAGCCAGATGAAGGATTTGATTTTATTAACAAAAGATCTGGTGATGAAGCTCAGTGAGTGCAGATCAGGTTAAAATTTGAATGCACTCATTTTGACCTTGTTGAACAGCAAACAATGAGTGCAGGACCCCTCTGTAGGTGAGTGGGATTGGAATTATGGTTCTACTGAAATCCTAGACAAAACTCGAATAAAAGAGCCTCCTATACAATAAACAGTTATTAAAAAAAAAAAAAAACTTATTATCAATCTGTTGTGGCTCCACTGTGCATTTGTTTGTTTGAAGCCAACAGCGTACTTTGATCCTAACACCAGGGATTTCTTTAGAGGTTTGCAGGCTTCAAAAATAAAATACAGATCAAATAGGCTGTTTCATTATGAAGTAGCACCACCTTGTTTGGAGTATCCAGTTAGAAGCAACCAAATGATTTAACAGAACCTTCTAAATGCATTTCAAATTTAAAAGGCAAGTTGAGGCATTATAATGTGTTTGGGAGACTCTTACAATCGAAGGATTACCCAGATTTTCTATTTTCAAATGATCAGACATAAGGATGCAGCAGTGTAACATCCATCTACAATACATTTTGAGGGATCCCAAGGGAAGAGATAAGCTGATCCTCGAATAAGTTCTCTATCTGCCTTACGCTATTGACACAGAGAACAAACTTCTGTGTCCAGCGGTTACCTTGAACAGGTGCCAATAGAACCTCAATCTACTTCTTTTCAAACAGAGGAACCGTGACAAGATGCTTGCATGAACTTTAAATATTGATACCTGATTTTATATACTTGAAAAACATTCATTTTCAACATCCTCTCATTTATGTCCCAATTCATTCACCCATTGTGTTACTGTTAAAAGCGTCAAACACAATTTCACTCACAGCCAATATGACTGTGTCAATTATTACTTCTCCTCTCTGAAGAAAATATGTGCTTAAATGTTAATGTGTCTGTTGCTGCCTTGTAATAAGCTTATTGGCCTAATGTGGGGAAAAAAGCTGCCTTTTGTCTTTGCCTTAACATTTTCTGTTCAAGGAACATGCCTCATTAAAGGCCTCAGTTACTGTGACTCACTGTGTAGCTTTTCAAACTACCCTGGGTTTGATGTAGCTTGTATTTTTTATTAACTTGCATTTCTGTGTAGGTACTGTAAAGTTTGCATCACAGCTTGTGCTGGTAACCACCTCTGAGTTCAGCCTAGTGAAGGTTGAACTTATGTGCTTAGAAGTCGGATATAAGTTCTATTGTCATCATGAAGATTAAAGGGCTGGTTATGGTTCCCGCAGCAGTGTGTCACAGTGAGCTTGACGCAAACATTTTCGATTTATGCTCAATTTTTGATTGTCTGCGCTATGTTATATTCCACGCCACAACACAAAAGGCAAAATCATGAACTAGCTGTGGGTCTAGATACAGCTGAGGTGGTGAGGAAGTGGGGGCAAGTTTGACCGACAACGGAGGGACATGAGGGTGGAAAAGGGTCCCAGTGTTCTCACGCCCCTCGGTCTTCTAGCTTGTCCAACTTCTCGAGTTGTTTTCCACAATGGCGGTCATACAAACAAAACGAGCCGGCAAGCGGATGTAGATTTGACCAATCAGAGGCCTCCTATCTGCGGCACTGTCTGCGTTCAGCTACAATTTGGGAGAGTTGCAGCAGAGTGCCTGTGGAGGGGGCGGGTACGTTTTTGCGTTCACTGCGACACCTACGCAGAGGACCTAGTTTTGAAGTATAAATCAGCCTTAAGGGGTTGGTGTTGAATCATATTGGACATAATATACATAATAACAATATTGCTTTTACTTGATTTTCTTCATTTTAATATACAAGACCTTGTTTGCTTTCCTTAACATTTTAGAAGTTGTGTTAAACAAACAAAACGTGTTACAACTCCAACTGTTTTAGTGATTTAAACATCTCTTTTTAAGCGAGATGAGATTTTTCTAAAAACAAAAATATAGCTACAGTCCACAAAGAAATAGTTCAGAAAACCTTATCCCCTTTAGATTGCAATGATCTACTCATCCCTTCCAGTTTGTTAGTTTTGCTTAACAGCATTAACTTTCAGGTAAGAAATGTCTCACAATAGTAAGAGATGATAATCTACATGCAAAAAAATAAATAAATAAATCTTAATACAGAAAAGCGAGACCAACTTTCCTCTTTGTTAGTATAACAAGAACTAAAATGAGTTTTTCCTTGTAAAACCAATAACTCATACTAACCTCCAGTAGGAACTTCTCTGCCTCAGAGGCCCTCCTAGCAGCAACGCACTGGAAAGAGGCATTTTGGCCAGCATTTACCTCCTCATCCCCCAGCCTGGAGAAGTGTGGGGCCTTATCTGTGGAGACAAAAGGAAAAGAAAAAAGCTTAACATACAATATTAGTGTTATATAAACCACATATCCTTTGGTGAGGCTTTTTATTTACTATTTTAAATAAATAAAAAGACCTTTTTAGGAAGAGCCTGTACCTTTAATTAAATCGGTTAACTTAAGTAATAGAATTAATTGGATTTTAGACTTCCTAAAACTATGGTTCTTAACCTTTGGTTATCTGATGACCAGCTTGTGTATATGTTGTTTTTATTATTAGTCTGCTCTGCTGGATTTTTTCTTACTACTGATTCTTCCAAATTTTATATTTCTTGATTCATCAGCACAAAAAAATTATTATTTTTTATTTTCTTTCTGTGTAAAAAAACTTAATCAGGAACATGTTATTAAACCAACGGAAAACTAGTTTGAAGGGAACTTTTTTAAAACAAGTGTCCATTACTAAAATAACTTGCAAACAGACAGGATCAATCAATAGATGAGCATTTTGTACGTGTGAGTTTCCAAAAGAAAAGCCACAGAGTGAGCATCAACCTTTCACGCTTTGACTAATAATGTCTCAGTTTTCTGAGTGAAGCTGCCAATGAGTCAGCGTGTGGGAGAGGGGCCCCTCTCAACCAACTTTGCGATTAACAATAAAAGAGTGAGAAGCAACCCCCTGCTGTGCCAAAGTGCTGGGTAAATGCAGGCCGTGCTGCCAGCCATCGCCGAGAAAACTGTGTAGGACATGCCGATGTGTCACTCTGGATGATTGACAGGAGGCGACGGGAGAGGGAACTGTGAAGCAGAAGCATCAGGGAGAAGCAAATGTTTGGATCTCGCTCATCTCCTACTCAGATTTGCACAAAACTACATTTCTATCTCGCAGAGATGGAGATGACAATTCCTTGATCTTGATTTTGTACAGTAAGTTAGGGAACGCACTTGTGTTTGTACCCCACATGTGGCCATGTTGTGTTTGAGTGACTCACATCCCCTCTACCCCAACCCCCATTCCCCCTAAAAACGTTTCATTATTTATGCCTGGGAGTCAAACAGACAGTAAACAAACATGGAAACGAGTGTGAGTAGAAAGGAACACGCCCCAGAGTCGGCCGGAGCCAAATCGTTATACGGCTAAATGCGTCAGATCTTATCCTCATGGCTCTTTAGCATGATAAATATTTCATTGAACTGCAACACTAGTTTCAGAGTCAAAGAGTGTGACTCAGGAGAATACGACTGAAATGTCAGCTGCGCTTTAGCCAGAATTCTTAACAGGGACATTTTCTACATAGGTTTAGGCTATTTTTGACCATTTAACACTTCCTGCTGGCTTCCGTCTCGTCCTTCCCCCACACTCCTCATTGCCAAGTGATGCCGGCTGGCCGAGTGCCACATCATAAGGAGCGCTCAGGTCTTGATGAGAGTCTTAATTATTTAATGGCCTCAGTGGGAGCAGTCAGTGGATGCCATCTGTTGTGTCTGGGAGTAGCAGGGTGGCCTGCTGGGTGGTATGAATACAGTAGGGGTGCGACCCAATCTCGCAGCTGGTGTTCGCTTCATAAAAACACTGATGAGATCGTCTGTAACATGAAAAGGCGGAAATGTCCAAATTTATCAGAATCACAACATTCCTCCAGTGATAACAGGGAGGGCATCAACAAATTAGTGGGGAGTGATGCCCATCTATTAGGCCTGTGACTGAAGTGTTAAATGTGCAGATAAGAGGCCTTGTGTTCAAGAGTGGGCTGCATGCTGCAGTGTCTCAAAGAGGGTGGCTTTGTCCAGCTATTACGGTAGGTTCAGGTGTCTTAGTGACTCTGCTCTGAACAACATCCTCAGGAGCTGACAACACACTGAACTGCTACACTCACCTTTTACAACTGACAAAAAAAGCCATTTGGTACAGACAGCCACTCACAGTAAAAAACCCTGGTTAACTTTTTTGAGGAAAAGCCATCTAAACAGAGCTGTGACATCTGCCCAAGAGCTTCGTGGCACTTTCAGCAAAGAGCCTTCACTAACCCCTCTAAGGACGACACTCTTCAAGTAGAGGAAAGTTTTGTTTTTTTTGCTTACTCAGTGTTTTCAAAACTGTTGCTGCATAATATATATTTTGAATTTGTAAAAGCTGCAGAAAAATACTACAGATATAACGATCTGATACCTGGATACGTTTTATCATCTCTGATAATTAGCTGGATCCGATATTGATGATTTAATATCGAATATCAGAGATCCAACCCAGTCCACTTTACATGGAACTATTACTTCTGTCTTTTTGTGGCTTACTTGTTAATAAATGACATAAAGCACATTTATATCTTTGTTAATGTGTTACCTTTTTTAACAATGTTTAAGTAAAGGCTAAAGCCTTCACTCACATATGGTTCATTTATTGCACAGTTGAATCTGATTAGTATCGGATAACGGCCGTTACGCTGAGTCCAGGTAGGATTGGATCTGAAAAAAACAGTATTGGTCCATTTGGAAAAAAAAAATACAAATATGTAGAACCATTTAACCCAATGGAAATATCTATTCTATATTAGCAGAAATTTACCAAGAGACTAGCTGGGCACTGAAATCAGCTGATTTTATACATGACAGGTTCTTTTCAGCGATTTTGTTTTTTATTGACAGAGCAGCCCACTCAAAGCAGTAATAATTAAATTGTAAAAAAATAATAATAATAATTAAAACCTTTTCTGTCCTTCCATTTGCTGTATCCAGAACTCCTCAAGTCAAAAAATGCTTAAGTTTTCACCTGGTTTGAATTTAGTAAAAAAAAAATGCTCTTAAAGAAACCTTTTGTCATCAGATTATAAATCAATGAATCAATTCTTCGATTAAATAATAAACAGATTAATCAATTACTGTTGCAAAATAAATATTAGTTACAGCCCCGACACAATTAATAAAATATTTCAATAAACAGAATACTTTTTTCATTGTAGGAGCTCAGAATAACTGAAAACTGATTCAGTGAAAAACTGATGCTCTATGACCTTCAAAAGAACATATGTGGAACACGGATGCTCCTGAGTGACATTGCAAGGTACTCACTGCTTATCATGCAGCCCCTTAATGACACTAAAAAAAGCTCTCCAATAACCAACTTTAACTGGCTTCATTTTCTTGTTTTAAACGTAGTTCATATTATATTTTGAATATGTCAAAATACTATACCTGTTATGTTTTAACAGGTATAGTATTGCAGGTTGGTCATGATGCGGGGCGCCTCTTTGTATATAAATTAAAAGTAGGCGGAGCCGTGTGATAGCTGCCCCTGTCTTTACATTTAAAAATGTCTGTTGCATAGTAGGAGCCTTTCTAAACCTAATGTAGCCACTGTGACAGGAACAATAAATGCATTAGAGCTTAACAGTGTGACCTGGGCTTTAGAATAACTGACTTTTTTCTAATCACACATTAGAGCTAACAGCTTACATGAGTGACAACCCTTTCAGTGTGGAAGGTGTATTACTACGAAGTTTTTAGTATCATAGAGGGATTTCAGAAGAGAGTATTTCATGTTAAAAAAAAAGAAACATTTTCTATGGAGTACTATCAGCTGTTCACTACTTCTAATCAGTAAGAGCAACTTCAGTAGATGACTACAAGCTGAGTGCATTTTAGAAAATGTTCTGTACAAATCTGTCTCTCATGGAATATGCTGAAACAGAAATTGCTGGTCATCACCTCCAGTCTTGTTAAAGTATTTAAGAATTTACCATGGCAACAGGGCTGCTTAAGGCTCCTGCTCCTGTATATCTGTAATAAATAAACAAATGGTTTATTATAAGATGTAATAGAAAATCACAGCTTACTCCTTTCAAAGAGTTTAGTCATAATTTATTTAGCTGTTAGTTTTCTTTTAATCCTATTAGCTACTCTTCCTCAGTTTTCTACATTCCAATCACTTACTGCTGCTATCATGCAGCACCTTGTGTAACTGCTGGGTGAAGTGGCACTTACAGCAGGGGTAGTTGAGCACCATGATGTCATCTATACCGATGTAACCCCTCCGCTCCCTGGAAACCGTTGTCTCAATCAGCACCTGTGAAAACGAGCAGGAACATCTGTTAACCAGTTTTGAATGAGCATACACTTGTCGGTAACCTCGTGCTCTCCTGAAGCGCAGGAGTGATTTTCAAAGTGGAAAGCTCCGGGAGTTTTGTTGCTATCATTCCCCCATTGGTGACAGACACATTAATTACAAGCCAGTCCATTTCACATCTACTGACCCAAAACAAAAGCATGGACAACCAGAAAAAATAAGACATATACAGAAGCCGTGAACACAGAGACGGATAAGTTTTGCCTCTCTCCGCAGGGCCATGGGAAATAATTGCTTTATCACGGAGCACACAATGTGGTGCCTGAATCATGAGCGCCATCGTAGATTCAGGGCACGGGCTGCTATGAAGCCATAACAGCAGATAATACAGCTTTCACAAGGCCATGAGACTCAAGGGAGGACAAACCTCCTATCTGCCCTACGAAACAATAAGCTAGATGAGCACTGGGCTCTCATGAAACCTAATCAATATCAAATCACCATCCTCAGTAATAGTGGAAGAGTTATGAGACACAGGGGTGATGTTTGTTGTCTCTGCACCAAGGACAGTCTTCTATCCATGGGTTTGATTATAGACCAGCTATGAGTTATTGTTTCTTATAATCTTAGCAGCAAATGATTACCACATGCTTCTCATCACGTCTTGGTTTTTATCTTGATCCACCAGAGCACTCACACACTAAAACCAGATCATAACTATAAATGTTTGTCTTAGGATTGGTGTAGGCTGAATCCATTACACATTTAAGAAGTTATTGGTTTTTGTGTAAGGCCGAGACGCCTCACAGGTTCGAGACTAGGCCAGGTACTGTAACTATTGCCGCATGTCTTCCCCTTCTCTCTAATCTCATTTCCTGTCTGTCTATTATAAAAAATAGCAAAAATAAAGGCCGCTAGAGTTTAAAAATAATCTTTAAATAAAAATGGGGGCTGGAACATGACAATAGGATTCCCTAAGATGTCTTATTTTGGTTTTATGTCATAAATCAACAAAAAGTGATGCTTTTTAAGCAAAAACAATATAATCAATGGTTTTCTAAAAATATATTCTAAAAAAAAAATATTTGAAAACATTTCTTTTTTTTCAGTAGTTGCCAGATTTGACTCCTGTTCTTTTGTAAAAGGCTCAGACTCAATCAGATTTGACGGAGAATTTCTAAGAACCATGATTAAAATTAAAATTTGCCACAAAGTCTAAATTTTCATAATGAAATTCTAACTTAATGCTTTATTTAAAACTTAAAACTTTCAGATGCAACACTTTGAAAACAGCCAACCAAAGGTCATTAGCGATGAGTGGCTCACCGTCCTTGTGGAAGTTGGCAATAACTATCTCCCCGACAACTGTAAAGTTATGATTTCTGCTGGAAATTGCGTGCACCACATATATATATTTATATATATACATGTATCGGCCTGCACTTTAATTCTGGCAGTATCAATCAATCAATCCATTAATCCATCAATCAATCTTTAAACTATAATTTGCATTTTAATCAAGATTTCAGTAAATTTATTATCAATGTAAACCTCAGGAAAAAATGTCATTATGATGAGGTTAACATGAATTTACAATTATTGTACCTAGATTTTACATAGTGCTTGTCTACATAGTGTTTTGCATGTGGGCCGTATGAATCAGACTTTAGACATTAGGTTCATTTCAAAATATAATACAAATATGAATTTATGCCCGATATTTGCAGTGGACAGAAACCAAAAATAAGATGGTAAATGGAATTAGGAGGATTTACATGGCATGTTCATGATATATCAGTTTAAAGGTAATGGATAAGAAAAAAAAAAAAAAAAGCTCCAATAGCAGCTAGTTGTTGAAATTTTAAATATGTATCCAACACATCCAGAACATAATATTGCTCCCTTGCAGTTGCAATCTTGACTGTTATGGTTACCGAAAAGCGCTTTAAAATGAAGGGCCTATGCTGTGATTTGTCCAGTCTCTATTAAACCAGAAAGCCTGAGCCTTAGCTTTACCTAGAAATAAGAAAGGAAAGAGATGAGGAAAGAAGTTAAAATACATTTTCCTTCTCTGTATTTATAACAAATAACAAAAAAAAACATTGGTAATTACATTTCAGAACTTCCCAGACAGCGTAGGAAATAAAACTAAGAAGAGACAGACAGTAAGAGATATCCTCTTCGTCCTGCTCTGAATTATACAATCACATCTGTTCATATTGTTTTCTCTCTCTTAGGAAAGAAAGAAAAATGAAAACACACAAACTGTAAAGCCAAAGACCTTTATTAAGCAATATCTAGTCATGTTATGTTGTTAGTTTTGTTTTTAGTTTTTTCAAACAAGAATGATGGCAGTGTCTATGTATCAATAACAACAGTTTTTTTTTTTTTACTTTGATGAAAAAATATCTTCATCACTACATTCCCCCATGGAGGGTCATAGTAACATCTTCCAGACCTCTGGCCTGCTGTCCCTCCATCTACAGTCATTGGTACAGAGTCAGTCTACCTTGCTGGACTTGAAAAAATGATGAAACAGATTATTCTGACAACAGAGCCGGTTGTATGTGACCCCTGAAGAACCTTACTCAGAAATATCCTGGGGATATATGAGGAGATTGGGGTCATACAAAAAAAAAAAAAATCTGGGCAGAAAAGGGATGTGCGGGGGCAAGCGGAGGGATAGGAGAGGTGAAAGAGAACGTAGAAGGAAAGGTCCTGACAGGTAGGCCTCCTGCGGTTGGATTGAGACCCTGCCCTGCCCTGGCTACTCTTCTCAGAGAGGAAAAACTGAGGCTAATCTTCTTCTGCCAGAGTCAATTTTTCTGTTTGTTCCTGAGCACCGACGGGAAGCTGAGCTGGAAGCAGCCGCCCCTGCTTTTGAAAAGAGCAATTTTAACATTTCCTGCTCTTTTTTTTTTACCCTCTCTCAGGCTGTCGATTTGCTAAAATGCCTGTGGCCCATCAGCTTCTTAGTTCAGGATTATTTTCTTGCATTGTAAAGCTACCTCCCCTTCATCTTGTTTCTGTTTTACTCATTTTTACTTAAACTAAAAAACAATATAGAAGCAATGGTTAAACATCAACTTATCTCAGTGTGTTGACCTAAATTTGCTGTGTAAACACGCATGACCATGCCATTAGGCCAACATCAAAATTAGCCAGAAACACTGATTAGGCTTAATGGTATACAAGCAAGAAAAAAGCATCTTTTAGACTCTAATTGAAGCTGTTATTACTCTCTGCTGAGCCAAAGCACTGAGCAGATTGATTACTGGTTAATCCTTAGTTTTTTTTAGCCATTAGGAAAGGAGGTTATTAAAGAGGCAGACGTTTAGAGCATTTGTTTCAATAAAAAAAAAAAAAAAAAACTTCAGAGATTTCTACTGAAAACCACTTTACCAATAAGGCTTTGCATATTCTAACAAGCTGTTCTTTTTCTTTTATAAGGAGAGAAAGCCTGGATACCAGCCTCTGGAGATAAAGAAAAAAACAAAAGCGGGACATCAAGTGATTTACGGCAGATATAAAATGCACATTACCAGAACATATTACATTACCCCTTTATATTGTTCTTCAGAGACAGTGGTAATGTCTACAGATAAAAAAAAAAAGATTTATTTGGCCCTGTAAGTCAACTTCTACCTTTCGCCATTAGACACGCAAGGCTTTCACTCACTTTTTGAGTCAGTCACAGATTAGATTTAAAAAATAAATAAAAAATTCCTTAAAAGTTCACAGAGAAACGCTCCTGTGCTGAAGCAAATCTGCTCAGCTGGAAATGCCAAAGGATAAGAGCTTTGGGTGAGAAAAACAGTGAGAGTTTCTGCAATCTCAATATAATCTGGAGCGTATGGGCTCAGCTTGGAGGGCTTTCAGCAGGCGGCCATTAAGGGGGAGAAATCGAGATGGACTCTGACAGCAGAGGCAGAACAGGATCTAAATGACAGTTTTTATCCACCTCCTGTATAACCATTTTTAGCAACTATTCTCAAAGATTATTCCATAAAAGTCAATCGAAAAATAAATCTTTATGGAAAAAGCATAGAGCAACAAAAATGAAAAAAAAAATTGCTACAGCAACTTTGAATTTAATTCAATTACATTTCTTCTTCTCTAGCAGTAGTCTTTCAGTTTGCCACATCTTTACATGTCATTACCGTATTTCCTTACTATAGAGCCCACCTCGCTATACTAAATTTTAGTGCCCACTGATATCTGCTGAACTGTCTCCCACCAAACCTGTAGGGGGAGCTCTACCTATAGCCCCTGGAGTAGGGACGAAGAAGAATGCTAGCTCCTGTTAGTCAGCAGTAAGAGTTTCTCCTGAAAGATGGGACTTTGGCGGCTTTGTATTTCATGTTGCAGGGGTTGAGCCCAGTTGCTTTATTGGTTGGGCAGCTTTAATGAGGCAAATAAATGGCCAAATGTGTGAATTTGGGACATGTGTTCTACGTTGTGCCTGCTGCTGGCATGTTCTTGTGCTAAGTAAAATTTCAATTCAGTTTATTTATATAGCGCCAATTCACAACACGTCACCTCAAGGCACTTTATAGTTCACCAGATCATACAGTCATATTGATTTAGTTTTCTATCTAAGGAAAACCAGTTGATTGCATCGACTCATTGACTCGAATGCAAATCCCTCACACTAAGCATGCTTGTAGAGACAGTGGAGAGGAAAAACTCCCTTTTAACAGGAGGAAACCTCCAGCAGAACCAGGCTCAGTGTAAGCGGCCATCTGCCGAGGCCGACTGGGGTTCAAGGAGACAGAAGCAGAGATACAAAAAGCAGCTGTAAAAGGAGGCCCCATCCAGGAAACACACAGCCAGGCAGACAAGCTCCGAGCCAACTCCCATGTCAGAGGATGAAGAGAGCACATCCAGCAAGTCACACTCAGAGAAATAGGACTACACTGGAAATCAGGTCGATCTCCAGCATCTATAAACAAGGGTGTTGATGGCATTGATGGCAGCAGCACAAATTAACCCCTTAGTCT